TTTTTTTTTTTTTTAATCTTGGGGCCAGCAGATGGCATAGTGGTTAAGGTGCTGACTCCCACATGGCCGACTACAGTTTGAGTCCTGAACCTGTGGCTTGAAAATTACACTGTGTGTGCACATGTGCCCCAAATCCCAGGAAGAGAATGGAAGAGAAGGGAGTAAGACATGGCTATACCCCCAGATGGTGATTTCTCACTTTCACTTTCTCTCTCTCTCTCTGTCTCTCTCTCTCTGTCTCTCTGTCTCTCTCTCCTCTCTAGCAAGCACACATGCACTATGGCAAAAACTTGGAAAAAAAAAGAAGAAAACTGATCTCTTATTCTAAGAAGCAAAGAAATTCTTTTGTTCCACTACTTAGGGCAAATAAATACAAATTTTATGAAAATGTAAGTCAGAGTCTCAAAATTACTTTATATACTGAGTGTGGCTCTGAAGGAAGACTTAAAGGAGATAGTTGAAACTGATTATTTTTCTATGTCTGTGATGTCAATTGATGCTGATTTATAGGAAAGATGAATTATTTAAAATAACACACCTTTTTGGGGTAGAAAAGCTGTGAGAACAATTAGAAACGTTGGAAACTTCCAACTTTGAAAATGAGTAATTATCCTCACTGTTAGTAGGAATAGAGCTAGAGGAGGAGAAATTAGCTGGTAGAAATATTTCTTTGGGGCCAGCCCCATAGCTTAATAGTTAAGAGAGTTGATTCCACCTGGCCAACTGTAGTTCAAATACTGGCTGGCCCTGGCAGCTTGAAAAATATTCTGGGTGCACACAGATGCATGCAAATCCTGACAGGATGAAGAATGTAGGTAAAGATATTGTAGCAAGGCCATGGTCCATTGGGGTGTGCTTTCTATCACTATTTCTGTCCCTCTCAGGGGAGCACACATGCCCTCTGGCAGTTAAAAATGTTTCTGTGATTAACTTGAGTCTACACACAGATAAGCATCTCCCTGTTAGAGAGTAACGAAGGGTAATCTACAGGCATGCCACTTTTAACCAATGGATCAAGAGTAGACAGTGAATTTCATTTAAGGCCATAAGTGTGGTAAGGAGATGCTGGGGAGGACTTTGAGAGTGCAGTAGAGTAACGAGAGTCATTGATCTGGATAGTGAGACACTGATCTCTGTGTGTCTTATAAATCTCATCTGTAGTTTTTTGTACTTGGCAAAAAAACACTATTGAGGACAATAATCAACCTCTCTCAAATTTTGTAACTTTTGTGCTCTTTGGGGGTTTTAAAATACAGATTCATGGTATAGATGATCTAATCTATTCCTTTACTTCAGTATTTATTTCTTAAACTTCATTTTTTTTTGAGAGGTTTTTTTTTGTTTGTTTGTTTGTTTGTTTTTTTGCTATAGGATGCGTGCGCTCGCCAAGACAGAGAGACAAAAAGTGAGAAATCATCCCCCAGGGAGGATGGCCATGCCGCAGTCCCTTCTCCTCCATTCTCCTCTCGGGATCTTGGGCACGCACGCACACGCGCCCGGTGTGAGTTTTAAGCATGGTGCTGGCGACATAGCCATTACGCTAACTGCTGGTCCTTTAAAGTTCATTTTTCATAGCTGTAAAGAGTTGTTAAGTTTGGACATGATGGGAATAGTTCTTACTATGGCAGAGTATAGATTAATTTATGGATCATGACAACAATAATAAAAAATAATAAGAGTAATACACTTGTTATGGACAACCTTTGGCTTAAGAGGCTGATTTAGTGATGTTTTCTGCCCTAGAATATACCCAGGGAAGGAGCAGAGGCAATGATCTGTTCCAGTCATGCCTACTGGTCTGGCTGGGCCTGGATCCATCTGTTGAACAGCTCAGCAATGTGGCAGAGACTGGCTATGTCCCCAAATTTCTTCCTCTTGAATGGTCATGTAGACTACATTTTTCGGCCTTTTTGCAGTTATACATCATCAGATAGCTGAGTTCTAGCCACCCACACACTGTTTTTCATATTCTTTCCCCATGTTCTCACCAAGTATGGAGGACTCTGAAGTGAGAGAAAATGATGAACTAATACACAGAATCTCAGAAGGACTATGGAGAATGTTTACTGCTAACTAGGAGTATACACTTTGGACATATGAGAGCAAAAGAACACTGTGTTAAGTTGATGAGAGTTTAAACTATCTCTGTTACAGCAGCTAGCATTCATCAAATTAGCACAAGCATGTCAGCTAACATTTCATAAGACATTTCTACTGCAAGAGAGACTGGGAAATGTTAGTCTAGTCGGACACATTACCACCACTGATAACATTGGAGTTGTGTTGGTAAGGAAGAAAGAATGAAATAGTTGGTGGTCAACCAGCAGTTTCTGCCACAAGGTATCATAGTTTGTATTTTGCAGAGTGATCAAGGACTGAGAAAAGATAATTGGATTTGGTAGCTAGGAAGTCACTGATGACCTTTAAGAGCACAGAGTAGGGTAGTAATTATCAGATTGCAGAAGATGGGGGTGTACATGAGTCACTTTAGCAGCAAGTGAAAGGAAAGAAAGAAATTAGAAGCTTCAGAGGCAGGGGGCAAAACGAAGCTTTTTAAAAACAGGCAAAAATTGCTTCTATTTGAGGATGACAAAGAAAAACCAGTAGAACAGGAGAGAATAAAGATGTCAGAGAAAGAGGAGCCAGTGAGAGAGGGAGACTCAAAGATATTGGAATGGGACAGTGGTAAAGAAACGAGTTGTGGAGAGGAAAGAAAGCTCTTCTCCCATGACAGGAGTGATGAACGTGAAAGTGGTGTACATAGAGACAGGTGTTCTGAGGTGCAGTGTGAGGCATATGACAGAGCTGACCCTAAATAGATTCATTCATTTGTTCACCAAGTATCACTGGAGATTGGCTTGTGAGCACAGATGATATGGTTGCTGCTTACACAAAAAAAGGAAGAGATAATCATCGAACAGAAATTGCATTATACAAGAAGAGTGAAGAGATGAGTTTGTGTTGAAAGTAAGGAATGTCAGAAGTATGAAGAAGTCAGAGAAGAACAGAACAGCCCATGTGGGGAAGGTTCTATCTAAGGCATCGTTAGTAGGTGACAGGGTTGGGGAGGTGTTGCTGGTGCTGGTGATTGACAACAGCTGAGAGCACAACTGAAGTCAGCACGGATTTGTAATGGTCCCTTGGCACAATTTCTTTACTTTGTTTGCATTTATACTCCATGACCCCAAAGCA